CTTGGTCATTTACATATTGTCTTTGGTGCTTTCCCATTACAGCAACAAAGTTGAGTACTTATAACACACAGTATCTGGCCTGAAAAGCCTAAAATATTTACTATCTGTACCTTTATAGAAAAAGTTTGCCAACCCCTGGTTTAGAAATTTGAAGCTTTAAATGTTAACTTATTACAATTAGAGAATTTGACTGAGAGCAGTGGTTCATTCCTGTAATCTCAGCACTTCGGGAGGCTGAGACGGGTGGATTGCTTGAGGCCAGGAGTTTGAGACCAGCCTGGGCAACATAGCAAGACCCCATCTCTACAAAAAAATTTAAGAATTAGCCAGGTGTGTGGTGCTGCACGCCTGTAGTACTAGCTGCTTGAGAGGCTGAGGCACGAGGATAGCTTGAGCCCAGGAATTCGAGGCTGTAGTGAGCTATGATCACACCACTGTTTCCTAAAAAATAAAATAAGAAAATTCAAGATTAATCCATGACATAATTCTTACCATTTCTTTTTGGTAAGTATATATTGCCACACAGTAAGAGGCAAAAGGAAATGGAATTCAGCTTAGTTTTTAGGCAGAATTTATAGTGAAAGACTTTAGTGTTTGAATTAAATTATCAAGCGTAGTTATAGAGTCTCTTTCCCTGAAGATATTTTAAAAATGTAATTTAACTTAAACTCTGTGAAGGAATAGGAAGTTGAACATTGGTTAGATTCTTAGTATTTTAGTAACCAAATGTTCACTGTTTCTCAGGTTCGAAATGTGAGGTGTATTAAATGTCACAAATGGGGTCATGTCAACACAGATCGAGAATGTCCTTTGTTTGGTCTTTCTGGAATCAATGCAAGTTCGGTTCCCACTGATGGCTCAGGTAGGCACTAGACATAGACGTGATTTATTTGTTTTAGAATTTATATTAAGAACAAACAAGGAAAGATAAAAATAATATTTTTCTTTATTTTCTCTGGATGTTGTTTTATTTGTGTTTTGGGGTTTTTTTCCCCCCAGACTAAGGCACATTCCCAAAATATGATTAATGGGGAACTCTTACTATATATGTTGAATTTGAAGTGCTGCGTAATGGGATAAAATTTCATTTTTCCAACCAAAGGCCTTATTAACTTAATTTTAGAAGTAAGATACATTAAACATAGTTTATCAGGTTTTTAATCCTCTGTTGATAATATATAGAGCAACCTTTTTGGAGAGCCATTTGATGATATGTATCAAAAGCCTGAAAAACATGCATATCCTTTTACTTGGAGATTTACCTTCCAGTAAGTTATAATAAGAAAGTGATAAGGCAAGTTTGCAAAGATTTATAGTAGTTAAAGATTGGAAACAACCCTAAATGTTGATCAGTGATTGGTAAAATAAACTTATTTGTGGAGCCCTTATTCTGTGCCAGGCATCGTTCTAGGTTGTAGGAACACAAGACGGAAAAGATCCTTACTTTCATTATATTGGGAATGACACAGAGAAAACTAATAAATCAGAAAATAACAAGTATTTATAAGTTCTGAGATGAAAATTAAATTGGATATAGTGATAAGAATCTAAAGAATCACTTTCGATTAAGTAGTAAAGAAGGGCTCCTCTGAGGAAGTGTAACGTTAAACTGAACTTAAATGAGAAGAAGGATACAGCCATGCAAAGAGCATTTAGCATCTCAGACAAAAGGAACTACCTTTCATATAGAGGGAACCATCAATTCTGAGGGGCCATGTATTAAATTAATACTTAGTGGTTTAAGTACTTAGTGGTTAGGAGCACAGAGTTAGGAGATACGGAGATACATAGATGCCTGATTTGGAATCCCTTCCCTGTTGTTCAGTAGCTGTTTAACTTTAGGCAAGCTACTTAACCTCTCTCTGCCTGTTTGCTGATGTCCAGGGGTGGGGAACCTTTTCATGTTGGAAGGCCACATTAATTTAGCTGTAATCAAATAAGGCTGCATTCAAGAAACTTCAATTAGATATACTTTAAAATGTACATTATTTTGTAAAATTCATACTATTAATAACTTCAAAAAATGAAAACTATTTGCTAATTTTAAAATTAGCTAATCTTTTAATGACTTTGTTGTATCTGCTTTTTGTTGGAAAGCATTTGAATATTTGGTTGCAGCATGGAGGTCAGCAGTTTTAGTTGATGGGTATCAGTCATTTGTGACCTTAAGGGCATCTTGATTTGGATTAGGTAGGAGAACATACATTTGCAAGAATAAGTGGTTAAAAAGCAAGAAAGCATTTCTCAGGCATGTTGCCAAAGGCGTGGATACTGCATTTTTCCGTATTTCAATTGGATTTTTCTTAGCATCAAACCACAACTTTAAATTGTCATCTACTAAGGGCTCAATCAGTTCTATCTGTAGTTCTTTAGATGCTTTGGTGATACCAACGAGGTGAGGCTGAAATGGTATTAATAATTTGTGATGTCATGATTTTCAAATTCAGTGAAACTTTCATTGTATTCTCCAATTAATAGGTCTATAACAGCTGTGTATTCTTCAAATGATTTGCATATATCCTCACCATTGACCTCTGCTAACTGGGGAAAATGTTCCTCCAGAATTTCCTTTTGAAGAAGTAGTGTTTTGGAAAAAGATAGCTTTTTTTCAAAATCCTTGGATTTTTTGCCACATATCATATATAGACTTAGTTTTACTCTGCAAAGAAATATTCAAGTCGTTTTGTTTTGACATGATATCACACAGAAATGCAGCATTTCTATAGAAATCATCTTTCAATAATTCACATTGCTGATTCTGTTCTTCATAAAATTTAACTATCCGTTCTTGCAGAGATAAAACTTTGGCTAACACCTGTTCCCTGCAATAGCCAATGCACTTCAGAAAGATATAGCAAATCCACACTGAATACCTCATCATTCAAGC